ATAGCAAGAAAACTAGAATTCGAAGTGGAACCTGACGATGTGACTGAATTGCTACAATCTCATGATAAAACTTTAACGGATGAGGAGCTGCTTCTTCTGGATGAGCAAGAAAAAGTGGTTTCTTGAGATGGGATCTACTCCCAGTGAAGATATTCCTTGTATGATATCACACTCCAGATCAACTAATTGCTACTTTGCGTATTTCATCAACCAGGCGTTGGGCAGTCATCACTGAGCATCTCCTATAGCTGCTGCATTGTCAAATATCCTTTCTGTGTCTGGGCAGTCGTAACTTAGCCCATATTCTATGGAGTGTGGATGAACATCATCTCCGTCCTGGCTGAACTTCTGGAGATGTCGCAGCCAGGCATTAGCATGGCAGGTGGTCATCTCATCCACGGAGGCTGCTTTGAGCAGCTTATGCAGTGCATATCCATCAATCAAAGAATGGACCGTACTGGCCTATTTGGGGACTTTGGCCAGGGAGTCGCACAGGCTGACAGACTTGGGACTGTTGATATAAACAAGGCAGCGACTGCCCACTGTCCACTGGTTGGTTCCTCCATCTTCCAGTTTGAGCTGTTCTGGAGCCGCTGTCTGGATCCAGCTCTTTTCAGACTCAACCCAGCCTCTGGTTCCTGTTCTTCTCCCCACTACTTCTATTATATACTTTTAATAGCCCATACCTTTGATTGTGCAAGTTATCACAGATCCAATTTGATACTTATGCATGTGTTCAGAATAGATTCCTTTTTTTTTAGAGGTCAATTATTAGTCTCCTGTCCCTGATGATGCACCTGAACGGTGACAGCTGGTAATTCTCATTTGTTGATGGGCTCCTGCTTCGGAGCTAGCATTGGATGAGGGAAATTGAAGATTTTTAAGACTCGTTCCCTGCCCACAAGGAACTAACAATCTGATTGGAAACACATGGCAAACATATATTAATTAGTAAATTAGGGTCAGAATGTATACCATGGCAACTCAGTGAAAAAAGGTGGACTCCATTTATAAACCAGCCAGAAACCTGGAAAAGTAAAACCCTACACCAATACTAATTGTGTGCAAAACAGAATAGAGTCCCTAGCATAAGCACTCAAAGCCCATTTCAGTGCTGTGGGTCTCCCAGACTCACGTATCATGTCACTAGAAGTGACCGGTTTCATTCCCAATTGATACATACATGCAACAGCCACAGACTTATCTCTAGCCCAAGGGTGATTCTGTTATTGCCAGGGGAACCACTGGGAATCACAAACTAATACTGCCAATATTCCAGGGACTGTGGCCAAGAAAAATGGCAGTTTCCTATGAATCAACCTAAAAGTTGAGACTTCTTCAATTTCTTATCTGAAAACACATTATCAGAACAAAGAACTGGAAAAGATGTTAGCTACATTGTGTAGTAGGATTTAGAAAAAAAAATACAGACCTTATTAGTCTGGAAGACATTGATTGATGATGCTAAAAGTGATGCTTTAAAAATAGTTACAATGCACAATTTCCTAGATCAAGCTGTCTTTGTCCATATCAGTTCATTCCATTTGTTATTTAGACAGCCTTTCCTTCTACACTCCTGAGCAACCTAGAGCATCTAAAGCTGTAGGTGTTTTAAGTTGATGTTGATACGAGGCATTATAGGTTTCAGGAGAACTCTAGGCGAACTCAGTTTTTTTCTCACATGACCTAATGGTCAGAACCAGGGTTTTGCCATGTGACCTCCTGTCCCTATGACCATGAGTATACTTGTGCCACAAGAGAAAACTGCTTTCATGTTTCCCTTTTCAATTGCAGAACATAACTGTAATTTAAAAGTCTGTAATTTGGCATTTTTCAGTTTTATGGTTTCTTGATTAGACATCAAGAAGAAAAAAAAATTCTTGCTCTCATGGGAGTGGTATATTTTTGTAACCAGATGCAAAAAACACTGATAACAATGCTTCTTGGAAAGGGAAACTTTCTCTTTACTGAGACTTTTGGACTGAGTTTCCTTATAATATTATGTATTATTTACTACCAATAATAAAAATTACTTTAAAAACAATTTAAAATATAAGTAGACAAAGCATTTTATTTTATTTTATTTTTTTTTTTAAGATTTTATTTATTTATTTGACAGAGGGAGATCACAAGTAGACAGAGAGGCAGGCAGAGAGAGAGATAGAGAGAGAGGGAAGCAGGTTCCCTGCCGAGCAGAGAGCCCGATGCGGGACTCGATCCCAGGACCCTGAGATCATGACCTGAGCCGAAGGCAGTGGCCTAACCCACTGAGCCACCCAGGCGCCCTAGACAAAGCATTTTACTCAGAAAAGAACATGTTTCTATCCTGTTTATATCCTTAAGAAATGTTTATGTGCTGTTCTTGTTCTTCTTTATGATTTTATCATTAGTGTGACTTTTTAGAAATAATTCTTAGGATCTGTGGGTGGTAGAACAGAAGATTCGGATGATATAAATTGCTATATATTCTGCAAATATTTGTAACTACCTGTTATGTCATAGGTCAGGGCTAGGTATTTCCACCTTTCCATAACTTCTGGAAGGCTTCTTGTGTAAACACCCAAGCATTTTTTTTTTCTTTGAGATTTCTGTATGCTTAAAATGCTTTCCCGTAGACTAGTGGTCGTTTGTTCTCCATGAATGCAGCAACCAAGGAACTCACCTGCTGTGACAGTGATCCAGGGCAGAGAGGTAAGTCCCAGGTGTCTCATTAAGGCAAAGACTGCATTGATGACCTGCAGGTGAGAGAGAGGGTAGCCATACAAAGGGTGGGGGTCATTTTGAGTGACTTGCTGTAGAGATGAGTACAGAGACACCTTAATTCACAAAATTGTCGAATTACCCAAAAGCTGATTCCAAATTTCTGTCAACAGAATCCCACACACACAAAAAGAGCTTGTTAAATCAAAGAAGCTTCCTGCTTAAGACAACTTTTGTAAAGCCACAGAACTTCTTCATTTAAATTCTATTTCATATATATAGGTAAGAACAACGCCTTATATTTACTTAAACTATTAGTTTTCAAAGCTCTTAGGCATACTTTATTTCTCTGAATCCTCACAAAAACGTTCTAAGAATCGCCCAACAATTTAATACACAAGGAAAAGGCAGCTTAGAACTGGAACCTCTTGCCCATGGAAACCTGGTAGGAAATGGCTGAGGTTTAAACCAGGACCTGGGAGTCCTACCCTCAGGCACTCAGCTAGCCCCACCACATGCCTCTCCAATTATAAGCAAGCTACAAGTGACTTTGTTAGGGAAATGGGTCGGATTTTCATAAGACCACAACCATGAATGTGCCCCAACTACCCCATTTCTCCTATTTTTCCCCTCCAAACAACCTTCCTGGATCTGTAGCAGCCCATCTTCCCAGAGTTGGGTCTGGATTACGTCACTGTCTTCCCCCAGTATCTTTGCTAACAACTGGCTGAAGTTCAGGCTCCACAAACTGGCAGTCAAATGCTCTGCCCCATTGCGCCAACCCCCTTTCCCATTTCAGTATGCTATTTATTGCCCCTTACACTCCAACTAAGCAGACCAGTGTACCACCACGCAGCACCCCAGCAGGGCACAGGCTAGGGTGAGGTGTGCCGCAAAACTCAAGGGGATGGCAAGAACTCAGAAACCAATACAAATATTTTGATGCAATATTTTTAAAATTAATGCAAACAATGCATGATGAAAAATATCAAAATTTCAAAGACAGGGTCAGCATTACTGATTTTTCCTTTTCCTTCAGACTCCAAAATGCCTCTGCTGTGCACTGTTAACTGATCTTGCAGTGACTTCTCCCTTGGCTACTTTTATTAATGATGTTTCCCAAAAGTTAGTTCTCATTACCCCTTTCCACACCAGTAACTTCTATTCTTCAATGCCCCAGCATTTATCTGTAGCCCTCTTCTGTTTTGAAAACCCATTTCCCTTAGTAACTGGTAGGACTTTGATAGCCATCTGAATCATCTTGGATCCCTTCCAGTGCCTTCTAAACCACAGTCGGCACTCGACACCTCTTTGCTTAAAAAAAAAAAAAAAAAAAAAAAAGCAGAAATCACAATCCTCACATTAGTTTTCTGTGGGGCCAAACAGGGAAGGGACCCAGATATATTTTGTTTGGTCCAGTGTTAAAAACAAACAAAAAACTGCACTTATTATCAAGATGTAAAAATCAGGATGTTTTCCATGAGAAAAAATCGAATTCTCTGCCATTTCTTAAAGAATCGGAAAATTTAGCAAAGGTGGGCCTGAATTCTTCCATTACCGCACTGGGCGTTTGTATCAGGGTGCGCCTTTAGAGCCCTCTCCACTGCTTCGCGTCCTAGGCGGCTCACTAATTTGCATTACCTGCCAGGCCCAGTCGTTAGCCCTTTGGGTTAGCGACCCCAGGCTTGAGTGCACTGGATAAAACCCATGTGCTGGGCCCACTCTACTGTTAGAATAAATACTTCCTTGTCCTTTCAGAGTCTTGCAGAGAGACTCACAGAAGCAGCTTACCTTCTCCAGCCCACAAACTTCTCACAACCCGTGAAATTTGGCATTACCTTCCGCACACCGTTTTTTTTTATACCCCCTTGGCCCTTTGCTCTAGGGCCCCCTCCGCGGCACTTGCTCTTCCCTCCCTACCCTAGCCCCACTTCTGCAGTCCCGAGCCCGGGGCGCGTCTCCGGCCCCCGGCAGCAGCTCTCTGCCCCGGGCCAGGGCGCTCGGGCTCGCCCACGGCGGCACTGGGCATGCTCAGAGGCGGCCGCGGGGGCAGGTTTGCTTCGCAGGCGCTCGCACTCGGTGGCGGGCGGGCGCGCGGCTGCAGCTGGAGCTCCAGCGCCCGGAGTTGGAGTTGCCGGGAGTTTCCCCCCCTCAACCCCTCCCTCTTGGCGCGAGGCAGCGGGAGCCGGCGCGGGAGCCGCGAGCGGCGGCGAGCCAGCGCCTGGGCCGGCCGAGCCTTGTCCGGAGCCCGGAGCCCCGTGCGGGGCAGCCCCCGGGGAGAAGCCTCGCCGGCTGGGACGCGTGCCGCACACTGGCACTGCCCCGGCACTAGCCGGGCTGCACGGTAGGGCCGGGGCGTGGGGGACTGGGCGGGAGAGGCAGAGGCCAGGCCGGGTTTGAGGGGGGGGGGGGATGCGGCTGCAGTAGCCGCGGCGGTCGGGGCACCCCGAGCTCGGTCCGATGCGGTCGGCCGGGGCAGGGACCCCACTGCGGGGCCCTGGGAGTAGGGAGGCGCCCAGAGAGATGCGTTCAACTTGGCGGGCGGCGGGAGAGGGGGCTGCGCGCCCAGGCGCAGCTGCTTTGTGCGCGCAGTGAGGGACTCGGTCCCTGGTTCTCCCCAGACCTGGGACCCAGTGTGCGGGGAGGATTAGGCAAGCCGCGGAGCGGAGCAGTTTCCTCCGAGAAAGTTGAGGATGGAGCCCTTCTTTCCGCGCTGTCCCCGCGGTAGGATGAGTCCCGAGGGTGCCGCCCCGAGACCCTGGTGTGGAGGAGCCGAGTGGGTCGCTGCGCCCCTGGCCTGAGTTCCTTCACCCCTGGCTGAAATCTGCGATTCACCAGATCTCTTCCGTGGGGTATTCTAGGAAAATCATTCCTGCCAAAAGTGAGATAGCCTGTCCGGGCGGCACTGCTCCCTACCTCCAGATCGTGTAGCTGGGCTGCCCCCTCCCCAACCTCCGACGTGGTCAGGGGCGCCCGGTTCCGAGTTAGCGCGGGTAGCATGGGACAGAATCGAGCCCTACACACATGGGGCGATATGGCTGGGGTAGGCGGATGGTACAGTTTTTCCTCCAGCCTTTCCTCAGGTTTACAGCACCCCGCCAACCCCACCCTGCTCATCTTCGCAGAGGACAGGACTTAAAGGGAAGGACCAGATGGAGGGTTTGAGTTGACATTCTGATCCTTAGGAGAGGGTGCCTGGATTTATCTGCCTTGGGCTCTGGCCCCAGGACTTCATAACGAATCCTCCCTTTAATTATTCTTCCTTGGGGACTGGGTGGGAAAGAACAGGGCCAGTGGGTCCACCAGAATGTCCGCCTCATTCCACAGGCTCCTAACATCGCGTTGCAGGCCATCCCAAGACCCTGGAACTGGCATTGTGCAGGTTGCCAGGGTGTGGAGGATGCTGCCGGTTTCTTCTAGCTCCACTTTTTTCACTTCTTGTTTTGAGTTTTGGAGTCAGAGCTGTGCTGTCATAACCCCCGGGGTGGGGGGTGGGGTGGGGAGAGGGGAGTGGTGGTGGAGGAGCTTCAGCCAGGCAGTGAGACGATTTTCGCCTCAGAGGCTGCTAGTGGGAATTGGTCCAGAAATGATTCTGCGGGCTAGAAATATGCCTCTCTCTCTCTCTCTCTCTCTCCCTCCTTTTTTTTCTTTTTTGGCTGAACACCTTGGCTGTTGGATTTGTGTGTTAGGTTCTTAAAGGGGCACCCACACACTGCTCGGGTGCTGTGCTTTAGGGGCTCATCGTTTCTGCTGCATGTTTTTCTTTTTGCTTTTTCCCTGGGGTTAATCTGCTTTGGGGTGGATTTCCAGCTGTGGGACTCACATGGCATGGGTATACAGGTTCTAGAGTCCGACCTGAGGTCAAGTTTTGGCTTGACAGCTGATGACTGTGCTGATAGACAAGTAGCCACTCTGACCTTCAGTTTCCTCTTCTATCAAATGGGGACGCTAGGGGCCTTCTCTCCTTTCATTGCAGGATTGTTGTGAGACTTGGGTGAGATAATAGAAATGAAAGTTCTAAGAAAACTTGAAAGCACCATTCAGATCTTACTGTGCCTATGCTCTTTACTCAGTTTTTTCTGAATTAATGAATACTTTTAATTATAATAAGACATCTAAGCCTTCTCCCCTCTACCCACTCCTCACTGAGATGCTTAGTTGCTCAGGTCTTTGGAAATAGCTGTTTATCCTTTTTTTTTTTTTTTCTTTTCCTAAAATCTACCTCTCTTGATTTTAAGGGTTGAGGTTGAGCCCTCATATTTATCTGAGGAAAGGAGCCTGGTGTAGATTAGGAGATCTCCAGGGTTGCCTTATCAATGTTCAGAGTCCTGGGCCCCAAAATTGGCATATCCGCTAGACCCCTATGAAGACAATTAAGGTTGATGAGTCAGCAGACCCTGGGCTGGAGCTCTGACTTGGCCTCCAACAGTGACCTTGAACTAAGGATTTAACCCCTCATCAGTCTGAGATTAAGAGCCAGTAGTCACCAAAAACAAGAAAGGGTGGGATTTCCTCTCACTGGGCTAATAAGGGTTTAATCCAGCTCCTGGGCCTCCCAGGTGCTGCATCTTCCCTAATCCTAGAGCAGGGGTTCTCAATCCTGAGCATCAGAGTCAGCTGGAGGGCTTGTTAAAACAAAGTGCTGGGCTGCACTGCCAGAGTCTCTGATTCTCTAGGTCTAGGGTGGAGGAAAGGGGGCCCAAGAATTTGTATCTCCGACTAGTTCCAGATGATGCCAGTGCTGCTAGTCCAAGGACCATGCCAACAGAATCACTGACTTATGGCAGGGAGGTGTGTGTGCGTGAGAGAAAAAGAGAGAGGTGAGGTTTGTTCTGAAATGCGATTATTTTAATACTTCACATACAGAGCTAGGGTGTTTTAGGAACTTACCTAAAGCATTTTGTATTTCCAGTACCTGTGTCACTTACGATGGTCTTCAAATGAATGAATCTTACCCACATAGGAAGATAGGATTCCCCTGTCTCTTTCACACTGTAAAATACTCAGCCTCTGGTTTCTAGGTGACCCCTGAGTGGACTGAGATTGGTGACTTCTGCTATTGATAAGTCCTTTCTTTGGGGATCTCGGACATTTGTGCAGGGGGTGGGGTGCATAAAGTTATGGCAGCTTGAACCTTAAGATTGGAAACCAGGTCAAATAGCTATAAGCAAGTGTTTAAAACAAAACAAAACAAAAAAACCCTGGCAATGTGCTGCCTTCTCTGAATGGACAGCTTACCCAGAACTGGGGGGTGGGGTGAGAAGGTGAAGTATACTTTGTGACAGATGTTTTGTGGTGGTCAGACCTGGCAAAGGCCTTCCATTCCTCTGTCAATGGCAGTGTTGGAGGTGAATGAGATCCTCTCTCTCTCTGAGGGGAAGGAAGGCTGACATCCGGGGGCAGCCGTGCAGTATATCAGCCTCTCTGTATCATTTTGCTAATAATCAAGGACTGTTTGCGCACAACCCAATCTTAAGCTCTTCTTGCCCCCCAAGCTAGGGTGCTGGGCTGAGAACCCACCATGACTAGTTGCGGCCTTGAACTTAACTGCTTTGTATCAGAGAGGCCTTGGGAGGGTGCCTGCTGGAGTTGGGCGGGCCCCTAAGATGACATCCTAAAGAAAGAATAAGGTTTATGTAGCACCCAAATGACTAGTTGTAAGAGGAGATCAGAACTTTAATAAGTTCTTGTGTTGCCTTGCCAAATGGAATCCCAGCTGACCACAGGCTTTATCTTAGCCTTCCATTTGTGCTTTGTTTTCATTTTAAGATGATTAGCACTAGAGAGACCTATCAGTAAAATCAGAAACCTATTCAAAAACTCAAGTGTACCATTTAGTGTTTTAGTAGATAAAACTGCACAAGGCCCATGCCTGTCTTCTTGATGGTAATCAGCACACAGTGAAGAAACACCTTCCGGTTGTAATTCTTCAGATTCACTAGCTAATTTAAATGGTTTCTCCTACTTAACATGAGTAGGGAACATTTCTATTTTAAAATTCTTTCCCATAACTTGATGTTTATATTTTGGGTGTTACCCCTACTTTTCACTGCTAGGATGTTTTTTTTCCAGTGTGGGGGAGGCTTCTTTCCTTATCTCTGTCGTTAGTTTTTCTTAGCACGTGACCACTTTGTATCTTCCTCCCTTGGATAAGTCTGTTGTGAGACTGTTGTTATGAGACCTTAGTTCTCTTTGGTCTTTGGACTGTTCTGGGTTGTAGAGAGTCACAGCCCATTCCTGGAACACTGTTCTCCGCAACCCTCCTAGAGTGTGCTTAAACGAAAACCCGGGTTGCCTGATACTAGCTCAATTCTAAAATACACCCCCCCATACATTATATCATTTTTCAATTTCAAAAATCTGGATGGGTCTTCAAAACTATGAACACTTTTAATGTATGTTTTTTTCTTTTTCTGTAAACCTACATGGAAATAGAGGGACTTCCAATTGACAATATTATAAAACAAAGCAAATTTGGTTCCTTACACGGGTAGAAAATATGGTTTCTGTCCAGATGATAGAATTAAGCAGCAATTGAATTAGCTCAGCAGTTTCTGGAGTACATCAGAAAAATCCTATTGGGGTGGCCATTAATAGGTATGTTCTTGAAAAGGGCAGATCAATTTGGAAGTGCTGCCTGTTATTTTTCCCTCTTAGAGATTCTCAACATGTGCATCATCATATCAAAGTCTCTGAAAAGTACCAGAGTTAACAGCCTCAACAACATCTTGGTTGTATTTATTCAATTAAACATTTCCCAAAATGCAATGTTTTTGAGGTTATGTGTGGATCTTCTAATACTCCATTACCACATTAGTACATCCCAACAATTCTAATATGCTAATTAACATCAGCTATGGGTGGGCTGGTTTCACCTAGTTTCCATGGTGGGGATAAACTGTGAAAATGTAAATGATGGGTGGTTGTACTTCTTTAGAGAAGAGAAGGGGCGTTTTAGGTTGGTGGCATAATGGAGCAGGAGTATGAAGGATTGTACTTGTGCCTGCATGTCAGTAATTTTCAGAGCACACAGGAAAAGGATCATGCCTCGCACAGGGTAAGACTGAGTGAGTCTGTGTTGGTGGTCAAAGAACCTGCTGTTCTTTCTCGATTCTTTGAATTCACTGAAGTAGCCATGAGTTCTGGTGACCACAGAAGAGCTACTTGTGGAGAAAGAGGAGGGGGGCCCAACACTCAGGTTAAAAACAAGGAAGGGCACATGAGACACAAAGAGAATCAGTGTTTCTAGGTCTTTAGAGGAAAGTGGGTCCAAGTACAGAGGGAAGTCCAGCTGAAGAGTCTTGGGTATTTGGAAGAAGAGCTTTCCAGGAAGAGAGGGTGTGC